TAGGAGAAAATCCAGGTTAGGGTTAGGGTTGGAGAAACGATGGCCCCAATGAACTTTCTGCGGCCTGCAATGTCATCAGGCTGGGCCCAGATGGTGAGCCGGGCAGAAAAATCCCCACCTTGTGGCATTCTGCAAAGTCGGGTACCCCCATGGCCCTTTCTCCCTAAAATTAGGGTTAGGAGAAAATCCAGGTTAGGGTTAGGGTTGGAGAAACGATGGCCCCGACGAACTTTCTGCGGCCTGCAACGTCATCAGGCTGGGCCCAGACGGTGAGCCAGGCAGAAAAATCCCCACCTTGTGGCATTCTGCAAAGTCGGGTACCACCATGGCCCTTTCTCCCTAAAATTAGGGTTAGGGGAAAATCCAGGTTAGGGTTAGAGAAACGATGGTCCCACCAAACTTTCTGCGGCCTCCAATATTATCAGGCTGGGCCCAGAAGGTGAGCCTTGCAGAAAAACTTGTCCTGAGATTTGGACAATCCATCAAACATGCAGGAATCTGATGGATATGCCTTGACTGATTTTTCAGTCAAGACTTGGTACAAGGCAACAACTATGTATTTCATTTCTGGATGCAGTCTCAGATCCTCTTTGGAATTAGACATTTCAGAACTCTTCCTGCTAGTCATGCGCCCAGTCACTTCATTACATAACTATTCTTATACCTGACTCAGATTCTTCGGTAACACATTGTTGCCTTTAATGACTCCTAACATTTACATACTAAACTGATGACCCTTGGTAGGGACACTCCATATCCATTAATATTGGTTGAGGGCAGGCAGTGTCACTTTCATGCATTCGCATGTTTGTTGCAGTTGCATCGCCCTCCTGAAAATCCTCCACTGATGCCAGGCCGTCCCTTGCTCACAAAGGTCGCCATTCACTCATTTTGAAAGGTTCTGTCCATTTGATTCCTGGTTCCATTTACACATAATCTTTCATCACTGCTAGTACTGCTAATTTCAGACTTTTTCCAGTAATTTCAGCAGCATAGGGGTTGCTGATAGCCATGTCTGCTGATGGCAGGTAATGCTTCCTTTGATGTGCATGATGCCCAAAGGGATTGCTGGGCTCCAGGAGACCTACAAAGCTGTGTGTAATTTTCTAGCCTTTGTACCCCACCCCTGAGCTCTTGGAGTGCTGCTTTATACTTAATTAAAGCTTCCCTGTTGCAAATGTAATAGCATTTACTGTAACTTGACACATTCCCCACAGTCTGTCTCCTTGGCTGATTTTTTCTGAGGTTCTTGGAAGCCAGCGCTGCAGAGGATGAATTCCTCATACATGTTGAATTGTCTCAATGCAAATTGCCCTTTCGTTGTGTACCACCCAGGAAAGAGGATCCAAACCAAACATAGCATATTACTTTGATCAAGATCTTCTAATTAGGCAAACGGTTTGTTCTTTTTACCAAGGTAATACAAAAATATCTCTCCTGATTATCCCCCCCCCCAACCTATTTGACTCTTTGAGGCTTCTTGGATGTACAGTACCTAGCAATGAAAGTCAGTTTTCCATTAATGAAGGCTATTGGGTGTATTTAAAAGGTTAATGCTGTGTGGCTAAAAAGATTTTGGATTTCAAAAATTTATTGATGATCCTGGGATTTTTCCAGTCTTGTAACTTAAGAGCTTCAGCTGTTAGAGTGTAGAAATAAATAAACCGTACATCAAATTGTGTGGCACCTATTGTAGCCTTGACTGTTGCTTGAAGAAAGCAAAGCATCTTGATGTTGTCACTGGTTCTGTGTTGACGGGCAGGAGAAATGGGGCCTCTTGTTCGAGGCCACTCCCTGACCCTCCCCTCCTCTGCCTGCTGGATTTCTCACGGTCATCTCTTTGCTTCCACAGCAGTGACTCCAGCAGCAGTTCAAGTGACGAGTCTCCAGCCCGCTCGGTTCAGTCCACGGCTGTTCCAGCACCCACCTCCCAGTTGCTTACATCTCTGGAGAAAGATGAGCCCCGCAAAAGTTTTGGGATTAAGGTTCAGAATCTTCCAGTACGCTCCACAGGTAGGATGCAGGAGGAGTCAGTGGCATCAGGTGTTCTCTGTGCAGCAGCAAAGCAAAATCTGTCGCACGTGGCTGGAAAATGGAGGCTACGCTTCAAGCGCCACTGGCTGGGGAACATAACATAGATGTTTCTGCAAACATAAAAGTGTCCGGTCGCAAATGACCAGTCCTGGATGTCACAGGCAAGGACACTTTGAGCAGAGGGGCCCCTCAGCCTTATTTCAGTCGTAGGCCTATTACGGGCCTTTTCCATTGGAAAATATTTTGAGCCCGAGGTAGACCAACTGCCTGGAATTTTTCAGCATTGCTTTAAGAGGCATACAGGTAACAACAACAAGAGCTTAAAAGAAAAGTGAATAAATCAGAAATTTGGTGGTAACACCAAACCATGGTAACAAAATGCCTTATACTAAAAAACGCCTTGTACTTGACCCAGAGGGGGGCAGCTGCGTGGTGCCACCTCGCTCAAATGCTTGCCATCCTTCCTCCAGACACCAGCCTTAAAGATGGGTTGTTCCACGAGTTCAAGAAGTACGGAAAGGTGACATCTGTGCAGATCCATGGGGCTTCTGAAGAACGATACGGGCTGGTGTTCTTCCGGCAGCAGGAGGATCAGGAGAAGGCGCTGAATGCCTCCAAAGGGAAGCTCTTCTTTGGAATGCAGATTGAAGTGACTGCTTGGATAGGGCCAGGTGAGCATCAGGGAGGTATTACCGGTGCTCACACAGCCTGGACGAAGGCAGCTACCCAGCTGGAAGAAATCCAGGTCACACTGCGGCTTTCGAGTCACCTGGGAGTAGCTCGGTTCAGCAGGAAGAAGTGTCCCGGGGAGCTCAGAGCTCGCTCGTTGCTGCTTTGCGATGTCTGAGCTGGCTCTCACCTGGGCATTACTGGCTGTTGCTTCTGGTTGACACCAGGTGCCAGGAAGCCCTGTTGAAGTGAGAGAGGCCAGCAAGACCAGCTCTGTGTGCTCTTCCGCAGTTCCTGTCCACTTCTGCTTAGTCTGTCAGAGATATTTAGGTGTTCAAGAGTGAATATTTCTAAGAATATGCCACAGAAGGTTAAATAACTATTTCTTTTATCCTCTGCCTTCAGAAACAGAAAGTGAGAATGAGTTTCGACCTTTAGATGAACGAATAGATGAATTTCATCCCAAAGCAACAAGAACTCTCTTCATTGGGAACCTGGAAAAAACCACCACATATCATGACCTTCGCAATATCTTTCAGCGTTTTGGGGGGATCGTGGTATGTGCACAGTGTGTGTGTTTGTGTGTTCAGAGAGAGAAGTCATGCCTTATCGTATGATGGAAAACACAGTTCAGTTGCCTAGATGTAAGCAGTTACAGTGCAGAATCTTAAGCTGCCTGGATCCGTTGCCCGTAGCTGGAGTGTGCCGTTCATAGGCAGGTATGAGGTAGTGGGTGGCAGCTTGGGTGAAGGAGGAGGCCTCAGGAAGAGGGGATGGCCATGGCGGGCCAGTTCTGCAGCTCTCCCTTCCTTCTCTTGGAGGCTGCCGGCAGAATTAGGAGCTTGCACAGTGAGTCCGTTTTAGTTCCTTTGTCAACTAACGAGATGGTGTTAACTCCAGTCCATCACTCCTGCAAACAGCTGTTCCAGTGGTGGAGCTAGGAGTGGTGGCTGCTTTCAGAGGAGAGCAGTGGCCTCCCAGGGGGTGCTTTCGGCTCCCAGGCTGCAGAGGTCCAGAGAACTTGCCCCTGACTTGCAGGAAGCCGGGCCTTCTTGAAGCGCCTCACCTGAAACCCGCTTGGCCAGGCTGCCCCTGCAGTGCCGGTCACTCCCCTGTCCCTCAGCCCAAGCTGTTCTCCTTCCCCAACAGGACATCGACATTAAGAAGGTGAACGGGGTCCCTCAATACGCATTCCTGCAGTACTGTGATATCGCAAGTGTGTGTAAAGCGATCAAGAAGATGGACGGGGAGTATCTTGGAAATAATCGACTCAAGGTAAACTATTTGTTCTCCTAGACGTGTGGCGTATGCAGGTTAAAGTGTTGCTTCCAGAGATGCCAAATTATTCTTACTCATTTGCGTGGTAGCTAGAGAATAAGAGATCCTGCATTTTTCCTGGGGTTTTCCTGTTTTCTTGCACTGCAAAATGGATTTTTCCTGGTTTTTCCAGGCCCTCTGGAAAAGGACAGACTGGATTGGTAAAGCAGCTGGCAGCTTTGGCATAGAGTTTGAGTAATGGACCGTGTGCCATTAGCTGTTTTCTCTTGGGCTCACCCTGCCTGCCCTGCATGGACTAGGCTTGCCCCGGGGATGGTCTGTGGAGATGCCCACAAGGATGGTTTAAGCTTGTGGCGGATTAGTTTCTCATATCTGCCCTAGGTCTCTTAACTCTGAGTCAGGCCTACTCTTGTTTCAAATGAACTTAACAGTGAATTCTTTGACTGACGGGAAGTGTTGACTGTTTGTGTCCTAGCTGGGCTTTGGGAAGAGTATGCCTACCAACTGTGTGTGGTTGGACGGTCTTTCGACAAATGTCACAGATCAGTATTTAACTCGACATTTCTGCCGCTACGGTCCAGTGGTAAAGGTAAGTGGGAAGCCTGTTGCAGTGGAGGCGGCTTTCCTTTCTGTCCCTCCCTCCCTCCCTCCCTCCCTCCGCCCGTCCGTTCATCCTGCCTCTTTCCTTGGTGAACCTGTTTTCCTCGAAAGCAAACCTGTAGTGATGTAGGCAGCTTCTAATTTGTTCTGGTTTTCTTTCTTTTTTAATGTTACAGGTGGTGTTTGACCGCTTGAAGGGCATGGCCCTTGTTCTTTACAATGAAATTGAATATGCACAGGCTGCTGTGAAAGAGACCAAGGGGAGGAAAATCGGTGGGAATAAGATCAAGGTCTGCAAAATTTAACATCTTCAAGGGGTTTGGGTTTGTGTTTTTGAGGCCGGTGGGGTGCGGGGTGTGGCATGGCTGAGGCCCCCCTGCCCGGGCGTCCGGGGAGCTGCTGTCCAGCACACCCGGAGGGCACCAGGCTGGGGAAAGCTGTGCAAGGAAAGCGTGGAGCCTCCTGCACACTCTTCCTCTTGGTGCCTGCCCTCTTCTCAGAAGCCCACGGGTGGCCCTGAATGTCAGTGTGGCGGCTCTGCCTGAACCTTCCCCATAGCGGGCCCTTTGTGCTCTGAATATTAAGCAGGCACCTGAATAGCCACTAGCCCAGCCATGAGGGGAGGACTTAGCAATCTGGGGAGTCTGTTTTCTCAGAGATCGGACAGTGTCCTTTTAAGTAAGGTTCCTGCGGGAAAGGTTCCGCAGCTTGGGAGTGCTCCTCGACCCGGAGCTGTCCTCGGAAGCTCAGGTGACTGCAGTGGCGAGGAGCACTTTCCTTCAGCTTTGGCTGATCCGTCAGCTGCGTCCCTACCTGGAGGATGATTGCCTAGCGACAGTGACGCACCCATTGGTTACTTCCTGGTTGGATTTCTGCAACACGCTCTACGTGGGGCTGCCCTTGAAGACAGTCCAGATACTTCAGATGGTGCAAAACAGAGCAGCCAGGTTGCTGACGGGGCCTGGGCGTTATTCTCACATAACCCCAGTCCTCTACCAGCTTCACTGGCCTCCCATCGAAGTCCGGGCTCAAGTCAAGGTGCTGGTCATCACCTACAAAGCCCTTAACGGCTTGGGACCTGGATACTTGAAGGAACGCCTGCTTCCATATTTGCCCTCCTGCCCCTTGAGATCGGCAGCAGAGGCCCTCCTCCGGGAGCCCTCTGTGAAAGACATCAGGAGGCAAAGTACCCGGAGGAGGGCTTTCTTTGCGGTGGCGCCCCATCTATGGAATGCGCTCCCCGAAGAGGTCTGCCTGGCACCGTTGTTATTTGTTTTTCGGCACCAGACTAAGACCTTTTTATTTAAACAATATTTTAATGACGTTTAATATTACTATAGGTTTTAATTTGCAGCCGGAATGAATCAGGTTTTTAATTTGTACAATCTGTATTTTTTTGTATTATATTTGTTTATTTATGTAAGCCATCCTGAGGCGTTAAGCGATGGGACGGCATACAAAAATTCTAAATAAATAAAAATGACTCTGATTTCAGTAGCTACACACACATGTGCCTCCAGCAAAGGCTGGCCGTCCTTTTGACCAAAGATAAATGGGCAACTCGCTACTGTTTTAACAGTTGGTAGGTTGCCACTAATGGCATTTGGATGCAGTAGTGAAAGGGAGCCTTGCTGTTCAGAGGCTGCGACCAGGGGAGCCTGGCTGGACGCCCTTGCAGCTGCAGCACTGGACTGGCTGAGCCCCCCGTCTGAGTCTGTGGGGTGACAGTCAGATGCTCCTTCCCCTCCCTTGAGCTCTCGGAGCCCCACGTTGCATTGCACCCCAGGGAGCCTCTATCCTCATGCCACGGTTTGGTGGAAGGCAGACGCTTAGGGCACCACAGACTCTTCTTCCCCAAGCTTTAGGCGCAGATGTTAACGCGCTTTCAGAAGTAGACAGTTCCAAGAATAATGTGTCGAAATCCTTCCTTTCTCAGGTGGATTTTGCAAACCGTGAGAGCCAGCTGGCATTCTATCACTCTATGGACAAAACGGGCCAGGATATTAGAGACTTCTACGAGATGCTTGCAGAAAGAAGGCGAGTGCTTCTGGCACCTTCGTGCTGCTTTTAGTTTGAGGCATAGTCATGCACGTGCCTGCTTTTGTCTCTGTCTTTTTGTGCAAAAGGTTTTACTTTGCTGCAGGTTTAGTATGCTCATTTTTAGTGAGAGCGTTTGTATATGATGCATTTTAGCGAGAAAGTCAGCTTGTACATTTCATAATCAATAAAATGAAATAAAATAGGGTTGTAGTTGGAAGGATAAGATTGGGAGGAGGCAGAGAAGGAAATATAGAAGCCACTTTGAGTTCCTTGAAAGGAAAAAGAAAAGAAAAAAAACCCCAGGAATATCAGTAACTAAAGGAGTCATTAAGTGGGTGGCTTCATACTTTCCGGCTCGTATCAGTTTCTCTGTCGGTAACATTTGGAGGGCAGGTGGCACAAGGGCACCAAATTGGCAGCTGCTTCCCTCAGGAATTAATTTCCACATCATGAAATACAATATAATTTGATGCTGTTAAGAGAAGAGTAACTTTTAAGCAGCCCTTCCCTTCCTAGGCAGCTAAATGTTGGTTGCTTGTTACCAACTATAACTTCCTAATTCCAGGATTGCCTGTAAAAATTGCCAGCTTGGCCTTTGGCCTTTCTGAATTGCTTCCTGCCCCACTTGTCAAAGCAGGTGATCATTCTGTTGTTGGCAGTTTATTTCCCAGTTAAAAAAAATACATATTTGCATAATGTTCCTCCAGAGCCAAGAGTCTGGTTTTTGGCAGGCAAGGACAGCTTCCTCCCAGACATGAACTGGTTCCTAGTTCCCTGTTTCTGTGTGGCTTGTCTTGGGAAACTTTTTGCTTCAGCCACTGGGCAGTTTAGAAATGTGCTCAACTATTGTTAGTGGTCTCACTGAAAGTTTATTTCAGCAGTGAAATTGGCTGGTCATTGCACCCAACAAGGGCAACTCAGATAATCCATGGACTGGGAAAAGACACTAACTTTCTGGTGCCCTTGTCTTTGGCAGAGATGAAAGGCGAGGTTCTTATGACTATGCTGCTGATCGTACGTACTATGAGGCAGTTCGAACCCCAGGGACGTACCCTGAAGATCCTCGGAGAGAGTATCCAGCCCGCGGCAGGGAGTTTTATGCAGATTGGGATCCTTACCAAGGAGACTATTACGATCCGCGATATTACGATGATCCCCGGGAATACAGAGACTACAGGGGAGACCCTTACGAGCAAGACATAAGGGAGTACAGCTACAGGCAACGGGAGCGGGAGCGCTTTGAGTCCGACCGGGACCGCGATCATGAAAGGAGGCCCATTGAGAGGAGCCAGAGTCCAGCTCATTCGCGGCGACCACCAAGTCCTGGGGCATCCCCATCGCAGTCGGAGAGGCTGCAGAGTGATTCTGAGCGGAGGATCTACAGCCGGTCTTCTGAGCGGAGCGGCAGCTGCAGCTCGATTTCTCCGCCACGTTACGACAAGGTGGACAAAGCCCGCCTCGAGCGATATGCAAAAAATGAGAAACCCGAGAAAGAGCGTGCTTTTGAGCAGGAGAGGCCCGACAAAGAGAAGCGCCTGCTGAGAAAAGAGAAGCCTGAAAAACTTGAAAAGGATAAGGTGGAGAAGCAGAAGCGCAAGGCAAAGATCCATTCTCCCAGCTCACAGTCTTCTGAAACAGACCAAGAAAACGAAAGAGACCCCAGTCCTGAGAAAGCGAAAGGCAGTGCGAAGCCCAGTCGGGAGAGAGCGGACAAGGACGGGCCCGCTAAGAACCGCCTTGAGCTCATGCCGTGCGTGGTGTTGACACGAGTGAAGGAAAAGGAAGGGAAGGTGATTGACCCCCCTGCCATGGAGAAATCAAGGGGAAAACAGGATCCGGACACCATCCTTAAGTCTCCTTTGCTTGAACAAAAAATGCAGACCTCTCAGATGGATCAGGCCAAACCTGATCAGCTAAAGCTTGAACCCATCAGAACTAAAGTGTCAAAAGAGAAGGTACTTGCCAGTCATATTGAAGTAGTCGATAAGGATGGAAAACCAAAACCCAAGAAGCACCTGAAGGCAGAGCAGTCTGGTGACGTGGCAAATCCGGTAGATCTAGAAAAACTAGAGGCCCGCAAAAGACGCTTTGCCGATGCAAACCTAAAGCCAGACAAGCAAAAACTGGAAATAAAACGGAGCAGTCAAGAGGACGAGGAAGCACGTGTAGTCCTGAAAAAGCAGAGCGATGCGATGGGGGACTCTGAAAGAAAGCCAGTGAGGAAGGAGGCGCTTAAAAGGGACTCTAAGAAAATTAAGGCGGAGAGACTTAGTTCTGCTGCCAGCCCCAAAGAGGCACAAGAACCTTCCAGCATCTCTGCCAGCACTGGCTTGCGGCCCAGCCTGGAGCTGCAGGCTAGGCTGGGGGAACCAGCGGATGAGTCAGTGGAGGTCCCCGAGATCCCCTCCAGGAAGGTCAGTTCCATGAAGCAGCAGCACAAGCCCACACTGCTGTTGGAGGATCCAGGAGCAGAGAGGGAGGACATGTGGAAGCCCGACTGCAGCCTTCCCAAGGAGACATCCGACCACAAAGGTGCTCCAGATAAGCCCTTGTCATCGGATATCGAGGAGAAAATACCCATTGACATTGACCACACACAAAGTTACCGCAAGCAGATGGAGCTCAGTCGCAGATTGAAGCAGCAAATGGAAATGGAGATTGCAAAGCACGAGAAGTTTGGCAGCCCAAAAAAAGACCTGGATGAATATGAGAGGCGTAGTCTGGTGCATGAGGTGGGGAAGCCTCCACAAGATGTGACGGATGACTCCCCTCCGAGTAAGCGGAAGAAGTCCTCTGACGCTTTTGACTTTGAAATTAGCACCAAGAGAGAGAGAAATTACCGGAGCTCTCGCCAAGTGAGCGAGGATTCCGAGCGCGCGGCCTGCTCCCCCGGCCTCAGGCCCTTCCCTTTCCACGAGGAGTACGAACTGCTGGATTCTCCAAGGCTGATGCCTCTGAAGGAGACCAAAGAATCCCCGAAAACAGATGAAAAGGGCCCACCCTATTCCAACATGACCGTAAGGGAAGATGCTTTGAAATTCAACCCCTATGACTCCAGTCGGAGAGAGCAGATTGTGGAAATGGCTAAGATAAAGCTGCCTGCCCTGAGTTCCGAGGAGGAATCAAGCCGGTGGGAATCCCAGGCAAAGCACGAGCCAGGCCGGGCAGATATTAGCTTTCCAAGCAGCGTTGTCAAGAGAGACAGCATCCGGAAGCGGTCAGTGCGCGATCTGGAGCCCGGGGAGGTGCCCTCAGACTCAGATGACGATGGTGACAGTAAGCCCCATTCTCCAAAAACATCTTCCTTTCTGGAGAGCCCCAGGTTGTCTTTTTTATTAAGGGACAGAGAAGAGAAACTACGTGAGAGAGAAGAAAGGCTGCCAACCTCCTTAGAAAGGAACAAATTTTATTCCTTTGCACTGGACAAGACAATCACCCCTGACACAAAGGCCTTGCTTGAGAGAGCCAAGTCTCTCTCCTCGTCCAGAGAAGAGAACTGGTCCTTCCTTGACTGGGACTCACGATTTGCCAGCTTTAGAAACAACAAAGACAAAGAAAAGGTGGACTCTGCTCCGAGGCCTATTCCATCGTGGTATATGAAAAAGAAGAAGATCCGGACAGATTCGGAGGGAAAACTGGACGACAAGAAGGAGGACCACAAGGAGGAGGAGCAGGAGAGGCAGGAGCTCTTTGCCTCGCGCTTTTTACACAGCTCGATCTTCGAGCAGGACTCGAAACGCTTGCAGCACTTAGAAAGGAAAGACGAGGACCTCGATTTCCTTTCCGGCCGGCTGTATGGCAGGCAGACGTCTCTGGATGGAACCAACAGCATAGCAGACTTCGTGTCGGAGCCCGTGGTTCTCTTCCACAGCAGATTCGTTGAGCTCACGCGAATGCAGCAGAAAGAGAAGGAAAAGGACCAGAAGCCCAAAGAAGCCGAAAAGCAGGAAGACAAGGAGAATCGGCCCAGGACACCAGAGACGGTGCCTGACAGTAAGGATCCCGAGCACAAAGCGTTGCTGGTAGTCGGCTCATCGGCAGCTGCTGTGGCCACACAAGAGCCAGTGCCCGCCATCCCGGAGAAGTTCGTGAATGAGAAGCTGCCGGCCGATGTGGCCTCTTCCTCAAGAGAGGAAAAGCCTCCGGAATCTGTCCCTGTAGCTGAGGAGCCGAAGCCTCTTCCAGAATTCCCTGCTCCCATGAAAACCGAACCACCCGAGCGTCCCGAAACAGCCCCAACAGTGGATGGCAGCAGGGACCTTTCTCTCTCCACTGTAAGCCCCGAGGAAGGCGCCGTATCCCTGGAGCACCCTTTGTATTTGGATACAAAGCCACCAACACCTGGCTCTTCGTTTTCCCAAGCTGATAGCACAGATCCAGAACCCGAAATAGTCCCGCCACTTCCCAAATTGGTCACGAAGACTGAGGAGCTGCCCGAGCTTAAAGAAGAAAACGTTTCGCTGGCCATCAACTTGGAGCCTAGTACAGGTCAGAAAGCAGAAGCTGCTGTTGAGCTCCTTCCCTCTGTTTCCGATACAGAGATGGAAGCCGAACCCCCTGTTGTTATAAAAGACAGGAAATCATACAAGAGCAAGCGTGCCAAGACTCCAGTTCAGCCCTCTGTTGCAAATGTTGCGGAGAAACCCGCCACGAGGAAGAGTGAAAGGATTGACCGTGAAAAACTTAGGCGGTCGGGCTCTCCTCGCGGGGAAGCCCTGAAACTTCTAGAGCTGAAGGTGGAAACAGAGAAGGGTTCACGAAACGCTGCTAAATCCCCAAGTGCCGCAGTAGAGCCAGAAAACCCAGAGCCAAGCTTGCTGGTAGGACGAACGAGGCGCAGAAATGTCAGGTCCGTTTATGCCACCACAGGCGACCATGACGGCCCGGCGCCCATTAAAGACTCGGTTGAGGTGACCAGGTGCACCCGGAAAAGGGTTGAACGAGACCCTCCAGACATCACAGCCCTTCCTACTCCTCCAAGAAGAGGTAGACCTCCCAAGACACGTCGCAAAGCTGAGGAGGAAGCCTCTCCCGTGAAGGCCGAGCCAGCGCAGCAGGAAGCAGAAGACACGGAAGCAAAAGAGGGCATGGACATCCCTAAACCTGTGGAGGGATGGCGATCGCCCAGGTCGCAGAAGCTGATGCCCAGCCACGCTCCAGCTGCCGGCTGCCAGCAAGCCAAGAAGGGGAAGAACGAGTCCAAGCCAGAGATACCGGCGGAGCCTGAGGAGCCACCAGAGCCGGCTGGCCCAGGGATGACCGCTGGCGAAGGCAGCAGCAAGCCCAAGGCAGACAGGGAGATGCTGCCCGGTGAGCCGAAGCGAGACAGGAAAGATGCCACTGAGGCGGACAAAGGCATGCCTGAGCCCTGCCCAGTCGAGATTATAGAAAGAAAGCCTGTGCCGGAGAAAGCGGCCAAGTCCAAAAGGGGAAGATCCAGGAGCGTCAAGGCTGCAGACAAAGCATCGCTGATGAAGAGCCTGAAAAGCGTTGAAATCCGCCTCAGCGTGGATGAAGTCAAAGGAGCGCTCCGGCCCAGCGAGGAGGAGCTGGACCCTGGGCCGACTTCGTTGTCGCCCACGGGCAAGAGCCCCCCACAAGAAGACAAGCTGCCCCCGCACTTCATGAAGACTGAGGCTGAAGACCCCTTCCGGGACATGGAGAACGAGCTGTCATGCGATGCCAGCCAGTCGCCCGAAGCGGACCAGCTGGCCAAGCAGATCGAGCTGGAGCAGGCCGTGCAGAATATTGCGAAGCTGACCGAGGGCCCCACCATCGCGGCCTTCAAGGAGCAGGCGGCGGAGGCAGCGGAGGTTCGCCAGGAGGAGGACGGAGACAAGCCTGCCCACCAGGCCAGCGAGACGGAGCTGGCCGCCGCCATTGGATCCATCATAAATGACATTTCTGGAGAGGCGGAAAGTTTTCCGGCTGCCCCCACGTATCCCGCCGAAGCAGACTCTGGCCTGCCCCCTGAGCCGCTGGTGCTGCCATCCACACGAGAGGAAATGGAGCCCGAGACCGACCAGGCCGTCAGCAACATCCTGGAATCAGACGTGGCCTCGGCTGAGTCCTCGGGACCACCCGTTCCTGGGTCTGCCCCAGAGGCAGAAAGCAAGGAGACAGATGTGAGCTTCAGTGAATCTTCCAATTCAGCACAGGAGGCAGAAACTGCGCAGGAGGCAGAGGTGTCTCGGAAAGAACGGGGCCGGCAGAAGCTCTCCCGGCTCAGGCGTAAGCGGAGCGTGAGCAAGAAAGGGGATGTTGCAGAACAAAAGGCTGCCGAAACCGAGAGAATACAGAGCAAATCTCTCGTCTCCAGTGAGATGAAAGGAAAGCCTGAAGGAGCTTCAAAAGCAGACAGCGAGGAGACGTTCCCTTCTCCTGCAGCCTCCCAGTCAGGCGTGCCCGATGCAAGCAGGACGTCGGCCCTGGGCGCGACTTCTCGTGAGACGATTGCGGAGAGCAGCCCTGTGCCCAAAGCTCCCGACGTGCCAGACCCGCCCTCTCCGTCCCTTCCTGCCGACGACATGGGCCCAGGCGGGGGCTTCAAGCCCCGTCCAGGGACAGAGGGTGCTCCCAGAACGCCCCCAAGTGCCCCCAGCACCCCTCTGCCAGCCCTCCTGCCCGCCTCGCTGCCGGTGAAGCTCCCCCCCACTGTCGTCGTCCCGCTGCACTCCAGCACGACAAAGGTGGCCGAGTGGATGGCGAAGCACGAGGAGGCCCGGGCCCGCTCCACGCCTCCGCCGGCTCTTCCTCCTGACACGAAAGCCTCGGACATTGACAGCAATTCCAGCACCTTGCGCAAGATACTGATGGAGCCCAAGTATGTGTCTGCCACCAGCGTGACCTCGACACACGTCACCACAGCGATCGCGGAGCCCGTGAGCGCCGCCCGGGTGGAAGAGGCCCCTCCTCATCCTCCCGCCGAGGCGGTGCAGCCAGGGGCTGAGGAGAAGCCCGCAGTCCCCGCCACGAACGCCCTGGAGCTGCCGGTTGCAGAGGCCCCTGTGTTCACCGAGAAGGAGAAGGTGGTCACCGTCATCGCCCCCAAGGCCACCTCCGTGATCAGCCGGATGCCGCACAGCGTCGAGCTGGACGACGCCCCGCGGATCACGTTGCTCAAGCAGGTGCCGCAGCCCCGGACGTGCCTGGCCAGCGCCCACTCGCCCAAGTACCAGCAGCAGCGGCCCAGCACCAACGACAGCAGCCGCTTCCACCCCGGCTCCATGTCGGTGATCGAGGATCGGCCGGTGGAAGCGGGCTCCAGCCCGGGCCTGCGCGTGAACACCTCGGAGGGCGTCGTCCTCCTGAGCTATTCGGGGCAGAAGACGGAAGGCTCTCAGCGGATCAGTGCCAAGATCAGCCAGATCCCCCCAGCCAGCGCCGTCGACATCGAGTTCCAACAGTCTGTGTCCAAGTCCCAAATCAAGCCGGAGCCCCTCGGCCCCTCCCAGCCAGTCCCCAAGGGCGCTCAGGTGCCGGTGGGGTATGGGGGCGTGTCTGCCCCCTCGCTGGTGCTGGGGGCGCAGCAGTACAGCCCCTCGCCCGGGCTCTCCTCCCTGAAGCAAGAGCGCAGCAGTCTGGAGAAGTCGGAGCCGGTGCACCTCCCGGTCCAGGCGCCCACTTCTCAGTCTGGGCCGGTCAAAGTGCTCTCCCAGGCCGCCAACACTCCATCCATCCTCGTGCACAACCAGCTGGTGCTGCCTCAGGCCATTGCCTCCTCCGCCAACAAAAAGCTCCCGGAGTCTGCAGCCCTGAAAGGGGAGGGGAAGCCCCTGCAGCCATCCAGCCTGAGCCCCGGCGTGGGCCCGCCTCACCCTTCGCTGTCCGGCAAGGTGCACCTGGAGGCCAACCACGTGAGTGCGGGGCCTGTGGCCCCCGCAGACCGGGCCGTGTCCCACCTGGGGGTCACGAAGCAGGAGCCCCTCTCTCCACGGACAAGCGGACACTCCCCGTCTCCCTTCCCGAGGGCGTGCCACCCGGGTGGCCCCTCCTCTCCGGCGCTGGCGGGGAACAACGCCATGCTCGGCATCCAGGGCTCGCCCTGCCCGGGGATCCCCGTGCCGCAGTACATCTCCAGCGTGCACCCGGAGCAGTCGGTGATCATGCCCCCGCACAGCGTCACCCAGACCGTCTCGCTGGGGCACCTCTCCCAAGGGGAGGTCCGGAGGAACACCCCGCCACTGCCGGGCATGCCGTACGCCATCCGCCCGGAGGCGCTCCACTCCCCGAGGGCAGCGCTGCAGCCGCAGCGGTCGAGCACGCCTCAGCCGGCCCCCGTCCGGGAGATGGTCTTGCCGGCCCTCTCCTCGGAGGAGGAGGTGCACTGGCACCACCCGGCGTGCCGCGGCTCGGCCCCGGTCCAGTCCGACGTGCTGGTCATGCAGCCCGACTTCCGTGTGCACCCGGCGGGCCTCCGCCTGGACCAGTACAGCGTGCCCCGGGACGTCCGCGTGATGATGCACCCACACATGGCGGCCGTGGGCGGGGAGCACCACCCCGAGAGCCGGCAGACCCGCACCCCGGAAGGGCGGTCCGTCAAGACGCCGCCCGCCACCAAGGCGCTCCCCGCGGGCAAGGAGCCGGCCAAGGCCCCCGAGGCCAAGATGGCGCACTCGCCCCACAGCGAGCCCCGGCTCCTCAGCGGCCAGCTCCCGGGGCTGCCCCTGACGCCTCCCGTCGTGCACGGGGTGCAGATCATGCATCCGGCCGGGGGCTCCTTCCACGACTACCGGGCCGTCTACAGCGACATGCGGAGCTTCCACCCGGCCGCCCAGCTCAGTCACCCCCCGTTCGCCGGCGCCTCGCCCATCGGGCTGCCTTCCCGGAGCATGACCCCCTCTCAGGTGAGCCCCAGAGCCATGCTTCCCGTGCTGCCCAAGAAGGGCGGCCTGCACACAGTCACGCACCCCACGCCCTGCCCTGGTTGGCAGCAGCACCTCCTGGGTTGGGGGCGGGAGCCTTCCCACCCCCAAAAGCCACCTGCAGAGAAAATGAGTGGGAAGGGCCCTCTGGGGAAGCGGAGCAGCGAGCGCTGCCCGCAGCACAAACAGGCTTGCTCGGCTGGTGCCCCCATGATCTGCGTTTCTTGCTGCAGGATGGGCCTTTTGGGGGAAGGAGGTGGGGCTGGGACCCAGGAGACCTGGGGCGGAGCCCCCTCTCGGCCATGGAGCCAGCTGCGGGCTCAGGGCCAGGCACAGACTCTCAGCCCCAAGGCTGACTCGGGGTGCTGGTTGTGGGATAAGGTTGCGAGGAGGAGGTCAGCCAGCTTGAGGCCTTGTTTTTTTAAGGAAGAGGCGGGGAGATTCAGGGGGCATGAGCGAAGGGGGCGCGGGCACTTGACAGCCTCCCCGGGGAGCGCTCTGGGAGGCTTCTGCATCGGCCAGGGTTTCTGGCTCTCCGCAGCCAAGCAGCCACAAAAGGCTGCCCCGTCCTGAAGCCCGTTATGGCCCCAAAGATGCGGGGGGCCCAGGAGCGGGTTTTCCGGAAGGCGGCAGGTTCTGCTGGGCTGTGCAGGATGAGGCAGGGACGCCCAGCTCCGAGCTGCTTGATGCTGAGTTCATGCCTACCTCCCATCTCCTGCTTCCTCAGGGTCTCCCAGAAGGGGAACATTCGCACCCCAGCCAGCCGGCGCACAGCAAGACCCCCCAAATCTCCCAGGAGCCCAAGGGGGCGCAGGCCGCAGGGCCGGACCCGACCCACCACCCGGCCGTTGGCCGGCACGTTCCGCAGATCGACTCGCACTTGCACCTTCAGCGCAGCCAGGCAGACACGGGCCAGACCTCGTACCCGTCACCCGTCGCCGTCTCGACCAAGCAGGAGCTCCCGTCCCCGCACCAAGGCCAAGTGCCGAAGCAGGCCCTGTTCATCCCGACCACCTCGGGCCCCAGCGCTCCCCCGGGCTTGTCCCTCTCGCGGCCCGAGCCGCAGTCGGTGCTCAAGCAGGACGCCGCCACACACCCCGTCTCCCAGCGGCCCGTGGACATGGTCCAGCTCCTGACGGTGAGCGTGCCTCGGGGCCTCTCGCGGCTGGGCTGGGCTGGGCGGTTGCTACCCGGGCCATTGCGCAGCAGCCACTCTGCTGGCTGGGTCCCTGCAGCCCCCTCCCTCCTGCACCGTTTTGGCAGGGAGCAGCTTCAGGGGCCTGCCTAGTCCTGGGGGAGCAGGTTTCGAGCAGCCACGAGCCGAGTTCCCTGCGGCCGGAGTGCAGGAAGCAAGCGGCGCACTGCAGTGGGGGCCAGTCCGCCCGGCCGAGGCCCTGCTCCCCGCTGACGCGTCCCTCTCGTGCACTTGCAGAAGTACCCCATCGTGTGGCAGGGGCTCCTGGCGCTGAAGAACGACACCGCGGCCGTCCAGCTGCACTTCGTCTCAGGCAACAATGTCTTGGCCCACCGCTCCCTGCCGGCCCCCGAGGGGGGGCCCCCCCTGCGGATCGCCCAGCGCATGCGCCTGGAGATGTCGCAGCTGGAGGGGGTGGCCCGCAGAATGATGGTGAGTGGCGGCAGGGGGATCCGCCTGGGTGGGGTGGGCCTGTTCCGGGCCTTGGAGACGGACTCCCCACCCCGGGAATTGCCGGCGGCAGCCGAAGGCCACGGGCAGGGAAGGGGCCCGGCCTCAGGGGTGCCCATGGTCCCTCTTGCAGGTGGAGAGTGACTACTGCCTCTTGCTGGCCTTGCCGTGCGGCCGAGACCAAGAGGACGTGGTGAGCCAGACCGAGTCCCTCAAGGCGGCGTTCATCAGCTACCTGCAGGCGAAGCAAGCTGCCGGCATCATCAACGTGCCCAACCCTGGCTCCAATCAGGTACCGGCCGCGGTGGGCGGGGAGGGCTCTGCGGCCTGGTGAGGAGCCGCGGCCCCTGTGGGCCCGTCCTCGTCCTGCGAAAGGGGCAGCGGCGCCCACGCGTGTCCCTCAGCCAGCCCGGCGTCTGCCGGGCTGGGCCCCTCTGCTCGCTTTCTGTGAGAAGGTCGAGGGAACGGTCCCGCGTTGCCGCGTTTTGGGGGCGTGTGGCTGGCTTGCACAGGCCTCGCTTAATGTGGGGGAAGGTCTCCCAGGGCCTCCTGCCAGCAGCTTCTGGACAGCAAGTGCAATGGGAGAGGCTCTGGGCAAATGCGGAGGCTGCCCTGCGTGGCGCTGAGGAGCATTTACCGCGAGCAGGTCAAGTGTGCCTTGTGGCCTGCAAATCGAGGCGGGGGGCACGGATGGGGTGTGGCCTCGCTTCCCCTGGCCTCCCCTTCAGGCCTGTGTGCTTACGGGCCCCTCTCGGTCCCTCCTCCCCAGCCCGCTTACGTCCTGCAGATCTTCCCGCCCTGCGAGTTCTCCGAGAGCCACCTCTCGCGCCTCGCCCCGGACCTCCTCGCCAGCATCTCCAACATCTCGCCTCACCTGATGATTGTCATTGCGTCTGTCTGAGCGGCTGAGTGGACACGGACTCCTTTCTCCGAGGCCCTGCAGCGGAAACGGAGCGAGCGCGGACGCGGGTGCCGGGCCGCCCTTGCCCACCGAGCCTCTCGCCGGGGAGCAGCCCCGCTGCCCCGCTTGTTTACATGTGGCTTCAGTGAAGACGGCCACCCGAGGCACTCGACTGGGCAGACTGGTTTTGGTGCCTCCTGTGGGCGGGGGGGGGTGGGATTAAAGGAAGGCTATTTTTTTAATTTACAAAATAACTTAAAAAAACAAAAAGAAGGAACCAGAACTGCCTTTGCACTAAATTAGTGACTTTGGACCTTTGCACAGTTGAAGATTTGTTGTGGTGTTCCGGATGGACGTCTCGATACACACACGTGAACTTGCGCTGTGAACTGTGACTCGCAGGCCCTGGGAACTGTGCTCCGGCCTGCAGGTCAAGGAGCATCTCGCGCTGTCCCCAGTCGACTCTCCTGGATCCCACCCAGCCCGTCTTGCTGCTTCCTCCATGCTGCAGTTGCCTCTTCCTCCTCCATCTGGGATGTACAGTTTACACTGAAACAAAGCAAAACACGAAAGGGAGAGCTACTTTTCTTTCCTGGTGGGTTATGCAGGACTCCGTGGGTGTGTGTATATAGAAATATATATATATATCATATATATATATATATATCATATATATATATATATAACTGACTTCAAAAAAAATCTGATTCCCACAACATACTTTTTTTTTAATCTGTGCCAAAAAATGTGTTTTCAGAGAAAATCTTATTTTCATACTCAGACTTTGTATTTGTCACTCATTTGTAAGTGCGCTTCATTTAGACATGAACACCCCTCCCCCCTCCTGCTCCCTCCTCCTCCTCCTCCTCCTCAACATGTGGAAGTGTTATACACTTGTGCAGGCCTTTTATCTCCCCTCCCCTGCCTTGTCGTCCTGGTCCTCCTCCTAACACTTAATTTATGGAACTGTTTTCTCAGCGCAGTTTTGTTTGTGTGTCCATTGGATTACAGACTTTATTAAAAAATACAAAACAGTTCTGCGTTGCCTGTGTTGCTTGCAGGAAGGGGCGGCAGAGCGGGGTTCCGCAAGGGCGACAGTCACCCAGTCCCGAACAGGGGTGCAGAATGACTGACTGACTGACTGACTGACTGACTGTCTGTCTGTCTGTCTGTCTGTCTGTCTGGGCCAGCCCTGCAAAATCACACTCATATGCCCAGAACTGCTTTCATGGTATCAACACTACTTTGACCTCGACGCAGATACTGGAAAATAACCGGTTTTATTTCTTCTACATATTAACACAGTTGTAGATTCTCTCAAATACAGAAATAATTTGTTTTACATCAACACAACAGCACGGTGTTGCGTGTCCTTTAGAGAGCAGTTTGGGGCGGGGGCATATGGCCCTGAGGCCTTGGGTTCCTGGCAGCCGCCTCCACAGTCCAGGGTGGCCCCTTTCACTCCGCTGCAGCCGGTGGCGCCTCTGCCAGGGCTGGTGGCGCCTCTGCCCCGTCGCGGGCCCGGAAGAGCAGCTCACCGGACGGGATGACCTGCTCGGCCTGCCAGGCAGCGGTGTGGCCGTACTGCTGGTAGAAGTCCGTGTCGGCCTGAAACATGACCAGGGCTTGCGCCGTGTGGATGCGGACGTGCTGGGCCAGACTGTTGGCATCCAGGAACTTCTCTCCACAGGAGTCGCAGGCGTACAGGATTTGGGTGTTGGGGTCTGTAAAGAAAGCTGCAGTGAGAAGGTAGGACAGGCGCCCCGTGGCAGCTGGGCCGGGGCTCATGGCCACAACGGACTGGCTGCTCTGGCAGAACTGCTCATCCAGACTGTTGAGAAAGCCTCTGAGGAAGCAAGGCCTCCTCAGGACAAGCTTTCCTTGGATTTTTTACCGAAGGCTGGTTAGTCATCTCCACCCCCATTTGCAGAGCAAGGCTGGCTGTGGGGAAACAAAGCTGGGTCCTTCAACTCAAGTGACATGGCCAGTGCCTGAACCGGGTCGGGTTCCAGGAGTGGAGGGAGCTGCCACGAGGGGTTCTTTAGCGATGCCTTTTCCAAGCTGCTGCAGGCCAGCGGTGGAGGGAATGGCATCCCGGACGCCTTTGTAGGGCATCGGGTTGGAAAAGGCTGGGGCAGAAACTCGGCCGCTTTGCATCAAGCACAAGCGTGCAGTTCCTTGAACCCGGAAGGCCAGAGTCGCTCTTTGGGGCAGAGCAGAATGGCGCGCTCTCGGGGCCAGCTCTATTTGGCCTCCCCAGATCGCCCGGGAAGCCCAGACCAGGGCCCGCAGGCCGAGGAAAGGAAGCGCCCGGGGCCACCGCGCGAGGACTCACCCGCCTCCTGCACCTGCTTCACAGCCTTCGTGATCTCGGCCTTCAGGGCCTCCGTCTCATCAGCTGTGACAGGAGCTGCGACAGGAACAACTGGGCAGAGAAGACCAGGAGTCACTGGAGGGTGCGCTGCCCCCACGGATGCCTCTCCAGCCCTGCCACTCTTCCGGGGGGGGGGGGCAGCAGGGAGCCACCCTCTGGCCACGACTGCACACACACACACACACACACACACAAGGACGGGCCTTGGCCATGCGAGGAACAAAGAGGGACAGACCACCCCCCCCAACAACACACAGAAATGTCATTCAGTCCCACTCCAGTTTGCAGGAGTTTCTCAGGGCTGCTCCATCTCCCAACGGTATCGCTAGCAGAAGTCCTGAATCGGCCTGGAAATGGAGCACTCCATGAATGCTCAGAGTTATCAGGCCGAGGCGCCACTGGGAGCACCAGCCCTCCAGCAGACACGGGAGGGGAGGGGAGGGGAGGGGAGGGGAGGCGCTTGGGCCGCCCTCTCCTTGCCCACTGGGCCAGCTGAGGGGACCCCCACCTGTCAACTGGGTGACTGCCGTGGCGGCCAGTGCCTCCGTGGCCAGCGTCACCATCTCTTCGGAGGCCACCGTCACGATGTTGAGCTCGTCTGCCTCCCCGGGCTCCAACAGCTTCATCCCGGCCTTGCCCTGGTGGACCGTCTTGACGTGGGAGCGCAGGTTGTCCACGCGGTTGAAGCCGCGGCCGCACTTGTCGCAGAGGAAGGGCTTCTCGCCTGGGCAGGGGCAGGGGGCTGCCGGCGTGAGCCCGGGCCAGCGGCAGCTCCAGGGGCCAAGGCGGGCTCACCGCCCCCCCCCACCTGGCCCAGGGAGGGGCACGCAGCTCACCTGTGTGGATGATGATGTGCTTGGAGAGGTCGCCGACATTCACAAAGGCCTTGTTGCACACGCTGCACTTGTGCGGCCGGATGTTGTCGTGGTGGCGGATGTGGTTGGCCAGCTGGCTGGACTGGACGAACCTGGGGAGGGAGGCGGGGGGAAGTGGTGCCATGGGGCGGGCGCAACGGCAGCCTCTCTGAGCACCTGCGTTCTCCCCACTGCATTCTCTCCCCACGAGGCAGGTGGCCGAAGCGGGGGGCAGCAAGGAGCCCCGAGAATGCGGTGGGCTTCGTGGCCGAGGCGGGGACTGGCACCCGTGCCGAGGCGAGGCAGGGCTTGGGGCTGTGTCTCCGAGGCAGGACATGACGCTCGCCGCGCCCTCCCTGCCCTGGTGCGCGGCCTCGCGTCACTGAATCGTGCCACTTGCCACTGCTGCGCGGCCACGGCACGGCAGTGCTCGCCCCCTCCCCATCCCCGGCCACCGGGACAGGGATGCCCAGGAGGGCACCGTGCCTGGCCTGCTGCGCTCACATCTCGAAGGAAGCCCGTTGCAGCCCACGTGCCCTGCAAGGAGGGCGGAGGCGGGGGGGGGGCCGTGGGGCACACGGGCGACTGAATGCCCCATCCAGTCCTCCGGCACAAGCCCCCGCGCCGCAGCCAGGGGCCGAGGGGCTCACCTCTTCCCACAGCGCTCGCAGACATAGGGCTTCTCCCCCGTGTGCTGGCGCACGTGGGCGATCAGGGAGCTGGCCTGGGTGAAGGCCTTCCCACAGATCAGGCACTGGCACGGCTTCTCACCTGGGGGGAAAGGCAGGCAGAGATGGCAGTGGCCAGCAGGGCCCCCCGCGCCCCCACCCTCCGCGGCGGCCCCCCCCCGGCTCACCCGTGTGGATACGGATGTGGCGCTGCAGCGCCCCGGGGTCGGCAAACTGCCGCTGGCAGTACACACAGATGTATGGCTTCTCCCCGCTGTGGATCCGGAGGTGTCTCTTTAAGTTGCCTGCGGAGAAGGAAGGGGCCTGAGAGCCGCTTGGCTGGGGCGGCGGGCCGGGGGCTGGGACTGTGGCAAGGGCTCCTGGGGGCGCGCGGAGCGCAGCCTCGCGGCCTGCTTTTCCAGCTGCTTCCGGCCCCATTTTTCCAGCTGCGTTTTTATGGCTGGTTTTTCTCGATTTTATCCAGTGAGCCTAAACCTTCCAGCGGGGTGCGTGTGGTCTTAATTTGGTTTGAACGGCCGAGAGCTTCCACGCTCGGGTGGGGCGGGTGGGGGCCGGGGCCGGGGCCACGCCGGCAAGGCCCTACCTGAGGTGGTGAACTGCTTCCCGCACTCCCGGCACTTCAGCGGCCCGTCCGTGATGTGGATCTTCAGGTGAGCCTTGAGGTTCCCAACCTGCCGGCAGGCCGGGAGACCGGTGAACGCGAGGCCACGCCCCACGCCGCCGCCCCCCCACGCCGGCCCGGAGGGGCCCTCACCTGGTTGAACTTCTTCTCGCAGTGGGGGCACTTGTGCTCCTTGTTGGTGTCGTGCGTCTCGAGGTGGCGCATCTTGGAGGTCGGGTCCGAGAAGGAGCGGCCGCAGTACTCGCACTGGTAGGGCTTCTCGCCGCTGTGCACCAGCTGGTGCCGCTTCAGGTTGCCTGAGGTGGTGAAGAGCTTGCCGCAGTCCTCGCAGCGGTACTTGGCCTCCCCCGTGTGCCGCTTCTTGTGCAGGTTCAGCAGGCTGATGAGGCGGTAGCTCTTCCCGCATTCCTCACAGCTGTACGGCTTGAGGGGGCTGCAGGAAAAGCCAGAGGCCGGGAGCCTCGCGCACGAGCCGGCCCTGCCCGGCAAGCCCCCTCTGCCAACGCCCCGCCGGACTCCCCGCCTGCCGCTCGCTCGACGGCCACCGGTTCTGAAGAAGCTAAGTGGGCGAGCTCAGTGACCGAGCCGTGCGTGCGCTTGCAGATCACAGAGGCAACTCGGGCTCCCCCTCCCTGCACGCCACTTTCCCAGGAGCTGCAGCTGCAACGGTGCAGCTGCGTGTGGGGTCCGGACCACCCGCAAGGCCCTCTGCTTCCCCGGCACGAAGACGGCGAGGCCACTGAATGGGCAAACGTGCTGGACCTCGCTCCATTCGCACAGCCCCCAGAACGCAAGTCGCGCTTGCTGCACGGCTCAGACCATCCGGGCCGAGGACGCGCCGTCGCTTCACACACGCCATGCCGAGGCGGCGCACCTGCAGGAGGACGGCGCTCCAGGGGGCAAAGGCCACCCTCTCAAAGGTGCGGCCCCCTTCCCCTCCCGCGCAGCCTCGCCGGCCCCCCTGGGCCAGCCCCCCACCGCCCCGCACCTGTGCGTCTTCTCGTGGGCCTTGCAGGCTGCCGGGTCGGAGAAGGCCTTGCTGCACTCGCGGCAGGAGAAGGGCTTCTCCCCGGTGTGGATGCGCATGTGTCGCTTAAAGTTGCCTGTGTGCGTGAACTCCTTGCCGCAGTCCTGCACATGCAGACAGAGAGGGGCAGATGGCCCGGGAGCCGACTGGGGGGCTGCTGGAGCCCCCCGAGGCCGCTGCAGCCCCGGCCAGCCCGTGAGCAGTGTGGCCAGAGCCAGGCTCCCTGGCGCCGAGGTTGCGGGGCAGGAGGGCACGGAGGCGACCCCTGCAGCCACCAGAAGGGCTTCCCGCCCTCCTCCGCTGCCCTCTGCGCCACTTTCAGCACTGGCTGCACTGGCTGGCACCTACAGGGTCCTCTGGGCCGCGGATGACACGGTCCGGAGGCAGCCGGGCTTTCTGCGGGGGCCGCGCGGCCCCGTCTCGCTTACCTGACCCAGCTGAGCAGGTGCATCACTCGTGCGGCCCCCCACCCTGGACCCTCCCAGAGCGCCAGCCTGTGACCCCAACATCCCCAGGCCTGCTGACCGGGAGGGACAGAGCTTCAGCCGAGAACTTTCCCCAGACGGGCAGCTGGGGGGCCGGTCGGCCCACACGCTCCCACCCGGCTCACCACAGCCCCGCCATCCCCTCCTGCCCCGCGTGAGGGGCGCCCGAGTGCGCAAGCACAACGCAGACGCCGCTCACCTCACACTTGTGCGTGACTGAGCCGTAGGTCTTGGACTCCGTCCGGTCGCTGTACGTCCCCGAGCGCAGCAGCCGGGCCTCGCCCGCCGTCTCCGCCCCAGAGTCCGTGCCCCCCGACTCGGTCTCCTCGGGAGCATCGCCGTTCTCCAGCCGGGCCTGTCGGGCCTCGGGGGGCTTGGCGGACGCCTCGGTCTCAGACGGGGGGTCCTCCTCCTCCCTCACTCTGCCCTCCAGCTCCACCTCCATCTCGGCAGGGAGCTTCAGCCCCGGAGCTTCAGACTCTTGCCGGCCGGAAGGAGGAGAAGTGCAGAGAGCCGGGATTTAATGCCAGCGGACTCTGGAAGAGACCCGTGGGCAACCTGCCTGGGGCTCAGCATCGCCCGCCTCTGGCACTGCTCCGGGGCCACGGCCAGGTGACGCAGCAGCAAAGGGGGCGGGATGCCGGGAGGAGTGCCACGCAGGGCGAGCCTCACCTTCCGCAGCACCCCCCACGGGGAAGCGGGCAGGGGCTGGAGCAGGGCCGCTGGGAACTGGGGAGGGGGCTTCTGGCTGCGAGGTCTCCGGCACGCTGGAGGCATCCTCTTCCTGAGCCTCATCAGCCCCTGAAAGGAGGAGAAGCAGCCACAGATCCACCGGTCAAGGCGGGAGGAAAGCAGCCGAGCACGGAGTGGGCCAGGCTGGGGTAGAGAACGCACAGGAAGCGGCCTGGGGAGGAGGGAGCCCGGTGGAGGCAGGGGCCAGAGGGTGCTGCAGGAGGAAGCTGGGCCCGGGACCCAGCAAGGGGCCTTCTCCCCAGTTTCCACAGAGATGGCATGCCTGTGACGCAGCTGGGACTGCCCCTCCCCGGCTGGAAGCCCGGATCCCGCTGGATGGACGGTACCGCACCTGGCCTCTTGCAGGGCTCCAGGCCCTCGGCTGCCTCCTTCCGGGGCAGCGGCGCCACGACCTCTGGGGCCTCCATCCTCACTGCCTCTTGCAGTCTAGCGGGGGGGCCCTGCGGCGCCTTGTCCTGTTCCTGTTCCTGCTTCTGCTCCTGCTCCCCAAGGGCGGCCCCCTCTTCTTTACACCTGCCAACTGTCTTCTCCTGCCCTGGAAAAGACAGAGGGCCACACGAGGCATGACATGCAGGCCCCTCGGCTCGGCTGGCCCCATCCCAGAGAGCCCAACCCTCCTGTTGTGCCACACACAGAGAGCCCACTCTGGCCGCACAAGCCCTGGGCACGAAGGCAGCACCATACCATCTGCCGCCGGGGCCGCTGCCGAGCACATCGCGCTGGTCTCCGCCGGGGCTGCGAGTGCCTGCAGCGTGCGACACGCGCCGACGACTTCCTGTATCTGGAGGAAGCCGGCCACAGCCAGCACGTCCTCCACGTTCTCGGGGCTCAGGTTCAGCTTGGCTGTGTACATGAAGTCCAGCACCTGCTCCAGACCTGTGCCAAGCACGGAGGTGGTTATGGCAAGGAATGGCCTGCCGGCTGGGCGATGCCCCCGCCAGCCCCGTGTGCCCCAGAGCCCCCTCTGGCCCGAAGGCGGCTGCCACTTCAGAGGCACCCCAGCAGGCAGCAGGCGGGCAGAGCTGAGCAGTGGTCCAAGGCGGCCGGCCCGTGACAGCTGCATGGGATTCCTGCCAGGAGCTGGAGAAGCAGGGAGCGGGAGCCTGCTCTTGGCCCCCAGCACCTGCGCTGTGCCTGCCCACCTGCCGCGTTGCTGATGTCCAGGTGCACCACGTCCTTCTGGTCCACGAAAAGCATCCGGAAGTACTCGCTGCAGGCCGCCAGCACTGCCTTGTGCGCCTTGAAGTCAATGCCGTCCACCACAAAGGTGCAGTCACACAGGAGGCCGAGCTGCCGCTGCTGGTTCAGCTGCTCCAGGACCTGCTTGCTGTGCTGCGGGAAGTCCATGGCTGAGGGAGAGAAAGCCCCTTAGAAAGCCCCTCAGCGAGCCCCGTGCAGCCCCTGCCGGCGCTTCCCGGGGCCCACGGTGTGCCCAGCCAAGCCTTCCACGAGGGCTGCTCTCAGCTGAGCACCTTATGCCAAAATGTTCCCAGCTTTGCCATGACATGAGCCCTAAGAAATTCAAGGTCCACACAAAAGCTCCTGCCGAAACAGGCACGTCTACTTTAAAGGGTGGCCGGGCGCTTTGGGTGCTGTTCCTTCAATAGACTGACGAAGCCCCTGCCGGAAGGGGCAGCAAAGATTTTCACACAGGCTAACATCTGTTTGAACTGCCCTGAGACACTCCAGGAAAGTGGATTTCCTTCTGCCACAGAGTAACACAAATATTTACTTATTTATATCTCACCTTTTTTCCTTTTAAGGGACTCAGGGCAGCACGTGCATCTCCCCGCTCCCTCTCAACATTATTTTCGCAAGGGCAACAGCCCTACGAGGCGGGTCGGGCTGAGGGCCCGCGATCGGCCGGAGTCACCCAGTGGGCGCCAGGGCCGAGAGGGGCTGGAAGCTGCATCTCTCCCAGGGGCAGGGGTGGCGGACCCCGCTTCGGTGCGCACCGGGTTCGCCGGCTGCCCGGCAGCACGGATCAGCTCTGCCAGCCCACCGGGCGAGCCCCTCTGCGGGCAGGAGGCGGCAGCCCCGGCGGCGTCCCTCAGGGCCCGGCCCGCAAGCGCCGCCCGCCGGGCTTCCACGCACAGCCTCCCGGCCAGCCGCCCCTCCGGCCGCCCACGTGGCCTCCGGTGACAGGTCGCCCCGGGACTGCCCCTTCCCCCCGGGCCGCCCCTCCCGCCGCGGCTCGGGCCCCTCCGCTTCCGCCCCGGGGCTGCCCCCCGCCCGGGCCCCGCGCCCCCGGCCCTGCCCCGGCCAGCGAGTCCCCCGCCGCCCGCCGCCCATGCCTGCCCGGCCGGCGGGCGGC